CTCAGGAGGGACTTGTCCTGGAGACACCAGCCCTGGACACCTTCTGGCATCCTCTCACCAGACCAACATTTCCTGAATCGAGGAACATGTTCAAGGTTTGGCATACTCCGTGCCGCTTTCCCTGACAGCTGACAGGCTCTGAGGATGAGAACACCCTGCAGAGTTGGAATCTAATGCTTAGAGAAACATCCGGAATGGACTTGCCCAGGCCAAAGACCCAGTTGTGCCCGGCGTCAGGGGTTCCATGGGACCTGGAAGGGGAGCACATGGCAGAGGCCTACCCTGCAGCCAACCGGAAAGCATTTTACAGTCTCAAGGTGATTCCCACCAAGCCAGGATGCTGGAAGTAGTGCCCACACCCTGAGGGGCTCATCTCCCTCCACTGAGGGTGTGTGCTGTGTCCTGACATTCAGCCAGTGCTACGCTCCACCTTCCTTCCCGAGCCACTGCTCAGATCTGCAGCCCCTGGGGACACGCTGGCAATGCACAGGAGCCAGGAGCTGGCTGGCTTCTTGGTCTTGGTCTCAGGCTGACCTCTAGGGGACAGACAGAGCACAGCATGGTGCTGGGAGCCTGGTCCCTAGAGTTAGGATCTGCCTCTAGCTGCCACCTCAGATCCTACCTCTGATGAGCCATGGTTTTGCCCCCATCTGCTCCCGGAGCTGGAATTCCTGTGAATTCTGAGGATTCACTCTGGCTGGCTGGTTCAGTGACACTCAGGAGCCCACAGGAAGGAACTGACCCGGGTCCACCAACTCGGCTAAGCAGAACAATCCAGGTCACCTGCCACGTCTGCCTAGACACAGCCTCAGCTCAGTGGATGCTCTGGCCAGATAAGCCACTTGTTAGGGCCAGAGCTGTGTTGAGAATGGAAAGAGGTCTTCCCGGAAGAGGCCTAAAACCACAAACACATACATATTATACAATCCCACAGGAAAGAGGGAAGGAGCCGGAGGCTGCTGTGATCACTGACTCCATCTTTCTGCCTCCCTGGAACCTCTGGAATTCGGAGAAACAAAATAAAACAAAAACAACAATAAAACCATATTGCCTCACAAAGAATTCCTTTTGGCGGTCAGGTCTTCCAACACTATTTCTCCACTTTGCTGAATGTACCATCTTTTTTGGCAGGGGGTGAGGCAGCATGGACATCACAAAAGCAGCTGGAGCCCACGGGAGCATGTCCCCGCTCCTGGGTACCCCTGCGGATAACCCTGCCCTCAGTGTTTCTCTGTTCTCCAACTTCTTGGCACAGGCTCCATTTTGACATGCCTTTGAAACATTGGACCCTGAGGGTAAGACGGATGAAGAGGTTTGGGGGACCTTGGGTCCCTGATTTGTCTTCTCGTTAAATCAGACCTTGACTGGTTGAGCAAGTCTTGCTTTATGGCCAAGGAAACTGAGGTTCTGAGATGTTGAGGAGAACTTGCTGAGGTTGCATGGCTGGCTGGTCAGTGGCCAAAGTGAGGTACAGACCCCATTTTAAATGATGCTACAGCCGACTCACTCTGCAAAGGCTGGACCCCAAAAGACTCTGGGATCATTTAGTGTCTGCCCCATGCTGGGGGTTCTTTGTTTTAGATCTGGTTCCATGGGCCCCAAATACATCCACCCCCATGTACTGGGCCAAGTAAGGCAGATCGGGAACCCTTGGCATTGGCCTTGCATATAGTTGGAGCCACAGTTATCCTGGCCCACCCCTGAGGCTTCTCATGCTGGGCACAGCCTGGACACCTGACTCCTACCCTGGCCCCATACCTGCTGGGGCTTTAGTCTCTGTCACCTTCACACTGTTAGACAAAATTTACAAGTTCTCTTGGTTCGGACCCGGCCTCCGCACTAAGCAGGCTGGACAGAAAGAGCTCGTGCTCAGGGTGGTGTTTCATGCCACTAAGGCAGAAACTAAGCTGCTCCACGACTTTACCAGAGAGCAGGAGGGTTTTAGCTGAGGAGGGAGGTAAGTAAGTAAGGAGGTCCTCTGCTGCCTCAACGCTTTCAAAAGAGCGATTTGATGCTAACCAAACAGCTTTTTGTCCAATTACTCAGTTTCCTTGTTCCTGTGATGGCTGGAGTTATGTTTTAAGTTTAAATTTCGGTGCTTACGAGATCTATAAAACAAATATGGCTCACCGGGTGGTGCTGGTGCACGCCTTTAATCCTAGCACTTGGGAAGTGGAGGCAGGTAGGTCTCTGTGAGTTCGAGGCCAGCCTGGTCTACAGAGTGAGTTTCAGGACAGCCAGGGCTACACAGAGAATCCCTGTCTCAAAACAAAACAAAACAAAACAAAACAAAACAAAACAAAACAAAACAAAAGCCTCTAACCTGTAAGTTTCACCTGCCCAAGAACAGGTAACTTCCTGGAATGCTGGGGGCTGTTGTCATGGAAGGTGACAAGCCACAAGTTTTCACGTCTGTAAACAAGCTTGGCTGCCCCAACCGCACAGGATGAGAGCTTGATCACAGGCAGGTGGTGGTACATGGGCAGGAAGTGTTTCAGGGTGTACACTTGCCCCTCACTGGAGGAAGGCAGAAAGTATGAGGCCTCATGAATTTTGCCTTTATAGGCCCCTGACTAATGTAATTATGAGTCACACTCTGAGCATGAGTTTTATGTATGGACCTGGCCAGTGTCCATAGGCCTGGCCACTATTTAATAAAGCTTCTTATGTATTAAATTGTATTCATGGTCAATCTGGTGAATCTCTGAACAACTCCAGACCCACAACAGTTCCCACCTTACAAATCCCACTGCTCTGTT